AATTTCATACATAGTCTATCTCTTCACAGATACTTAAATGCTGTTATTTGGAAGGTCAAATGATTATTGTAGCAGAGGTGGTATTGGATGGAGTAGAAACTTGCTTTTTTATAAGGGCTTCTGGTCCTTCTGCACTGAGGACTTTAGGGAAGGAGGGGGTAGCAGCAATTGGGGACAAGGACGAGGTGACATCCCAGAGCACTTCTTGTACTCAATTCATTGACAGTTAGCACCAGTGGTTCTCAGCTGCTATTTAGAAGACTCACATTTCATTTCTTAGTCCTTCTCCTCTTTTCCTTCAGCTGGGAAGCTCGGAGGAGCCACAGCGACCTGGCTGCCTTTCTCCACTTTCCTTGTGACGGGTCTGGCAGGGCATGCTCGGCCACAGCTTCTGCCAGAGCTTTCTTCTCATACAAAAATGTGCTGAGGAACTGCATCGCCAGCAGACACGGTCCCGCTTGCGAAGATTTACAGCGTAGCCTATAGGAGAGGATGGTCCCTGCTCCCTGGCTGCGCTGCAAACCACGCCACCTAATGACCCAGGGCCTTTGCAGGGATACTAAAATATTGTCGTGCTCCTTTGTTCTGACACTTTCTTCTTTTTTAAATGTAAGATTTTACCATTTTTCGAAACCACAGAGACAGAGATTGAAGGCAGCCCTTTGAATTTGTTAGAATTTTACTGCAGGGTTCCTTCCGAACCCTGTGCTAATTTTTAGCAGAGCAGGAAACATTAAAAATAACCACGAGAGAAGATTTCCCAACTCAGAACGATTGTCCTCCTCTGGCTTTGTTTTCGCTAGATATTTTCCCCCCTTAAAATTCCTGTAACCCTGATAGAGCAAGTACATCCGTGCCGGCAGCAGTAATGGCACCAGAGGAGGAAGGCAGAGGGCCAGTTAGCCAGGCTGGCACCTAGGCTTGCAGCGAGCAGGGGTAAGGGATGTACGGGGGAAATGCTTATTAATTATTGGAAGAGCTTTTGCATGTGAATCGAAGCTTGCAAGCTCCCTGTCTTCCCACTTTGGTGAACCTAAAACTGTTCCCAAGCCTTCAGCTGCTCTCAGCGTTGGGTGAATCTCACTTTTGCAATGAGAGGTGACATTTTGGTACTACATCCCAAGACTTTTGAGCTTCTACTGTGAAACAAAAAAAAATATCGGAATTTGTTTTAAAACTTATCTGAATGTAGCCCCTTCCTCTGAAGCTGAAATGTTGCATGGCCAAACCAAGGCATTCAGCAAGAGTGCATGATGTAGTAACAAGCTCTGCTCAAGCACCAACGTCTGATCTGACTTGTGTCTGCATTCTCAGCATCACTGTATAAATATATATCATTAATGTACACCATAAAATATATATCATTATATAAATAATGTCCTCACCCAGGTGATGGCGGTGGGGATGCACCATGGTTTGGGTCATTACGCCCGCAGGAGCACCGTGTGCTTACGTTACGTTACGCTACATTTGTGAGGCGTAAAACCAAGGCGAGTAATTGCAATTACCGCTCACCCCTGCTCGGTGTTGCCAGCCTCTCCTGCCCTGGCAACCTGAGGGCTCCAGCCAGAGGGTCTGGACATATTTTCTTTTTCAAACTGACAGCAATGTTTCGTCTTTTCTCTTCAAACGTGGAGGTTGCCCCGCAGAGCCGCGTTGGCCTGGCACTGGACGCAGGCGGTCCTTACTGGTGCATGGTCAGCAAATGAGATCTGAGTTGATTACAGCTGGAAGTGGGCTCTGACATCCACTGAACGCTGTCAGCTGGGACCACATCAGTGTTGTCTTCCTCGAAGCACCCTGGGATCAATGGGTTTCGTCCCGCTTGGCCGGTGCAGTGATGGTTTTGGTCAGAACCATGTTTTGGGGGAAGTTGATTGAATTTTCTCTCTACCTTGTCTTAAAGCATCAGGTTTGTCCTAGGCAGAAAGTTCATCCCCTCTTGATGTAGTGAGCATTTAATTATGTAAAGTGCCATCACTCTGTGTGTGATTTGGAGTGAAAGGCTTGTAATTGAGAGTGGGCGAAGGCATGAGTGAAATTTACCCCTGGGCAAAAAGCACAGCATGAAGCCACTGCGATGCTTTCTCTTACTTGGGCCCTGTAGTGGGGTGTCCAGAAAACTCACCTTTTTCTTACACTTAGTTGTGCTGGTCGTTTAAGTGGAAGTGATTTTTGTCCCCCCAAAATCAAGACTTCTATAGAGGTGGTTTTTGACTGGGGGAATAGGGGGTTACTTCTTGTTTTCCTGTTCCTTAGTTATCAAATAAACTAAAGATTCCTTCATCTTTAATTAAAAAGACATGGAGCAGAATTCAAATAAAAGACAATAATGACCTCAACACATGGGTGCTCCTGAAAGTTGCAGGCAATCGAGTAAGCAAGCCCAGATTTCAGATGCTCTCTCCTACTTTACACATGCAATCCTCTGGCTGCTCTTGGAAACCCTGCTTTGCTCACGCAGACGTTTGGCTGCGCAGGTAGAGCAGAGTCAATTAAATCTCCAGCCCAGACTAACAAAACATTTAAAAGTCTGAGTTAGTCTTGTCCATTCAGCAGCGCGGCTGGCCGAAAGCCCCTTTGAAAGCTTGATGGATATTGTTTTTCTCAAGCATTAAATGCTTTCCCTCAAACAAACATCCTTTGAATAGGCCATTGTTTTTCCTTCTGGATGTCCCTTTGTGGACTGATACAAGAATAGCTAAAAGCTGATGAATTGGTATTGTAAATTTAAAAAAAAAAAAAAATCTCTGGGACTTCTGCTCCTTTGAGAAGTTGAATGTGCTGCAAGGTCTCTGCTCAGGTCCCACATCTTGTCCTCTGGAGGTCGGAGAGCTGCATCGGGAGCTTCAGGTGAACCATCTCAAACAATCATAGTTTCATGAAAGATGCTCTGTGGACCTGACGCCTTTCTCGGGTGTTACAATGTAAGGAACCGAGGTGAGATAAAGTATACAGAGGGTGTTAGGGGAAGAAGTAGTAGTTTGGTTGTGACCTGCAAGCCTTTGCATTAACGGACACAACTGCATTCATTTATATTTTTCATTATTGCTATGTAGCAGTTGTGTACTGGTAGTTCCTTACGAGAGACGATATACATCATGTGAACAGTATAATCTATGTTTGGTCACTTCAGAAATCGTGTGTGTAAAGAAATCCCCATCTATTTTCAGGTGAACATCTCTTGTACAGGTCCCCTAGTCTTTATAACAGGTACCGATGCCCTGCCCAGGATTCAGCCACCTGGATTTACCTCTTCTTCCACGGTTTCATATTCCAAGCCCGGTCACCACAGCCGCTGCAGACTGATTTATTCCTTATTGATGGCCAGAGCTGTGAGCTGGAAGGATGCTATTTTTAATGCAGCCATTGGGCTTCTCTTACACACCTTTCTGTCTTTCGCTCAATTTCACCATCACGGATTTAAGCTGAATTAAAAAAAGTTCACCCTAATCGGTTCCCTAAGAAATACAGGAAACTTGGATGCTTTGTCGTTGCGTTATACAATAGTCCAAACTACATTTGCTTCGGTAGGTCCTCCAGGTTTACAGGGCTGTAATGCGGGAAGAGGTTTCAGCCCAGCACGTCTGCAGAAGGAGCCAGGAGGATGCGCGTGTGCCGTACACGTGTGGCCGTGCGGGGCAGACATAGGAGGGAGCGGGTGATGATCCCAAGGTACCATTTTGCAAGCGTAGCCCTTGCATTTGCAGTAAGCAGTGAGGAGAGCAAGGCCGGGTTGTGTTTGAGACCACAGGAGCTGCCAGCCATCCTGCGGCGCTGGGTCAGGCTTTGCCGCGGGGACGGGGCAGGGACGTAGTGCCCGCTGTTCGGCACAGTCCGCAGCTCCCTCCGGAGTGGATCCTCACCCAGCGAAGCACGTCAGCGCGTGTTGGAAATCTGGGGGTGGAAGCAGGTGTCCGAGGGCTTTGCTGACTTGCAGCCATCGTGCCGTGTCTCTTCAGGAACAGTTTGCAGGGCTGAGACTTCTTTGGGTTGAAATGAGGAAAGGTTTTAAGTTCTCAGGCGGCAGGTCGTGGATGGGTGGAAATGCAGTTCTTCTGGGGATTTACCGTAACTGTTGAGTTTTGAACTGCTTCCCTTCATCCCCAAGTGCCTGTGTGCCAGCTCCAGCTGACAGCAGGGGCAGCTTTGGCTTTGTCCGTGGGCCTTAGAGCATCTGTGCTTCCCCTCCCCACGTGCATCCTTTCTCAAAAGCAAGGTTTCCTACGGCCCAATACGTTCAGTGGCTTCATGCTAATTAAGGGCTGCATGCCAGAAACGATGGGGAAATAACCATTTATCACGTCGATTTACCATGCACTCCTGCAGCAACCCTAGAAAGGGGAGACCTGGGGAAGAACTGGGGTGACCAAGTGCTTGGTCCTGCAAATACAAGCGCGTTTCCAGCTTTGTATCACTGCAGATGAGCAAAGCGCATAGGTACCAGCCCACGAGGCAGATGCACCCTTCCTTTCTCTATAGCAAGACAACCCTTCCCATCAGTGAGATTCACCATTGTGGACTGAAGGTGATGGCTGGTCCCCACATCTTGGGTAAAACGGTAGAGTTTCAGTGAGTCCTTTTGATAAAACAAATGGTTCAGGTCTGAGGTAGATGTGAATCGCTCCCGGGACCTGCTCAGTTTAACCAAAGCAAGCGTGTTTTACTGCTGCTCTTTTAGAGTCTTTAAAAACCTCAGGGAGTCCCGAGCGCTGTGCCAGAGCAGTGTCACCCTGTCCCTGTCACTAATCCTGTCGCTTCCTCTCACGCTTCTTTATACTCTGCAAATTGTTTGACGCCTCTTACTGTACTTCTGTGAAACCTTCCTGCTGGATTGCATGGATGAAGGATTTAGGTATATAAGTAACATAGCCAAAGATTGTACTATAAGTAAGTAGAGCCTCGTTCAGAGCATGAATGATATTGCTATGTTTGTAAATTGATTTTTTTATTATTATCACTTCTTTTTTAATAATACCGTCTTTTCCTTCCCTTTTCAGGGGCCTCTTGGTTTGGATGGCAAACCAGTAAGTAGCACCAAGTGCCAAATGTAACATGTCTTTATTCACGCCGCTCGGAATCTCAAACTCTGAATCTCAAATATTACTTATCTATTACTACATATATAACTGTTCAGGAGGCAAAATGGTATTTAGAAAAAATATTCTGTGGTCTGTAACACACGCAAGTTTAAACTCTGAGCCAGAGCTGGCCGGCACAGATAGAGGTGAGCTTTGCTTTACCTGTCAGCTCATCCTGGCTGCTTCTCCCCCTCCTGTGCCAGCTCAGCTAGTGGAGACTTTGCAGCTGGGCTGCAGACCAAATTTGGGAAATAAACTCCAGTAGCACCTTGAAAGAAGCAGCGTCAGTAATCTTGGTTGCATGCTCCTGGCACTACGAAGCGGTATTGTAAAAACAATTGTTCCCAAACGGGGTTCCTTTGCCTCCAAAGGAGCCCAGGTGGGAAGTCCTTGAGAGTGCCCAGTGTCCATGCAATACTTTGTGGAACAGCCTGGACTTCATTTTATGAGCTGTTTGCTTGACTTCATTTTTGCTTGGAAGCTCTTTGGATACTCAGGTGCTCCGCTCTTTTCTTACTTATTTTACAGAAACATAGACTTTTTTATTTTTATGCTAGCTGAACACTAGCCAGCTCTGATTCCTTCGGCTGGATGGTTGCTACAGGAGGTCACAGCTCTGTATTTTGTGTCCAAATCCCACTCTATTCCACCACGTTCACTAGAGGGCACCATCTGAAATCTTTTCAAGCTCTGGTCCTAAAGCAACTGTGATTTTCAAAGTGGGCAGAAGTCATTCGGTCTTTGCAATCACGAAGTGACTCCAAAGACTTATTTCTAGCCAGTCAGGGAGTATTTTATTATAGCTGTACGTTGCTGTGGCTGGTTTTTATCCTACTGCTGAAGATGGCAAATGCGAATGAAAAGAAATCTAGAAATAACGCATTAGAAAAGAAAAAAATCCCAAGCAACTGGAAGGCCGGCTCACACCGCTGTGTTCAGGGCTTGGCTTTGAATTAGCAAAACCCCATGATGGAAAAGCAGCGCAATCCCCAGCAGCACGCTCCTGCGCCCACTGCCCTTGGCACGCAAACAGCTGCGAGTTGTGCGTGTGCACTGGGCAGGAGCGAGACCTCTGGGTGAGAGGCAGGGAAAATCTCAACGAAAAAGCAAACTTATCAAACGGCCAAACTCAAACCAGACTGTTCATGATCTCTTCCATGAAGGCAAGGGGCCAGCAGCTTTGCTTAGAGCCAAATTAACAGCAGGAGGGATGCTGCGTGGGGATGCAGATGCTGCCGCTGTCGGCCTCTCTGCTGACCTTCCCCCACTGCATCCCACTGGGTCCCGCTTCAGCAAACCCCGTGAATTGGGCTGAACCCCAAGATTCAGTATTTTTCTGTGCTGGAAGGAGGTTGCAGAGCAGGCACATCAAAGCGTGGCTCTGCGGCTTCTCTTTGGGGCTGCAGCGTGTCTCTGCCTGCCTGCCTTACAGAAAGCTGCTTAGAGGGAAGATGACTTATGTCTTCAGCGAATAGGCCAAAGAAAGCAGCCCATCCTCCTTGTTTATTTCAAACAGATGTGTAATTGTTGTAATGATATGCTGAGCATGTGTTTTTCTAGAAGTGATTTAATACTTCAAGAAATCTCATGCATCTATTTAGTCACGTGTTTGCGAGCAGCTGTCACGCTGCCTGCCCTGCCCCGGTCCTTCTCCGGTCCTCTGTCCCGGCAGGAGCAGGCAGGACCTCATCGGTGCTTCTCAGTAGCATGCTGCTCGTGTGAAGTACTGTATAACTTAAAATAAAAGCAGGTATAACTTAAAATAATAGTGAACGTGGCTCAGGTTCGTGAATTGAGGAATGCAGTCTCCTTGGTTTTGATGTTATGTGCATTGATGACTCTGCCGTTTCTTAACTCGGATTCTTCTTATGTATTTCCAGGGACCTCCAGGACCAAAAGGGGAAAAGGTAAAGACTGCATTAACGTGTGGCTTTTGGGGAAGCAGGTGTATGTTCTCCTCCTGCTGTAATCCTCTCAGCTCAGGTTACCCCAATACGCCAGCATGGCGTTACCGCTGGGTTTTGTTGGGGCATGGAGCCGTGGCAGCAGGTTCTCGGGTTGCTTTTGGGGGAGCCCTGGGAAGGGGAGGGCAGAAAGAATTTGCAACGATGTAGGAAGAATAAGTATGGCCTTAAAGCTCATCCATGCTGCAGGGTTCTTGATAACCCCTTAAGGGTTAGGAGAGTGGCATACAACTCTCCTCTTGCTTTCCTCCAAGAGCAAGGCTGTGGGCTCCAACGCTCTGTGTTTGCATGACATCCTCCCATGAAATTAGAGCAGCCAAAGAAGGTAATTACTGTACTGAAAGTGATGTTAATCCTCGCATGTGTAGGACATAAGCAGTTGCTAGGGGGGAGCCTCAGAGTTGGTAACGATCTGCTATTTCTGATTTATTATCTGTTTCATCGCCTGCCAGGGCAGAATCTTTCCCTATTGTGTTGTCTCGAACTCTTCATCTCACTGGTTTTGAATACGTTAAGCAATAGAACTCTTGCCACTTCCCTTGTGTGCTGTTCCCGCGTCCAGCTGACCCTGCGCTCGGTCCTTCGTGATTGAAATTTGAACTCTAGTAGCTGACCCTTGCTATTTTGCCTGACACGCAGGGTGAAGCAGGGGACATCGGCCCAAGGGTAAGTAGTGACACGGCACGTTGATTTATTGTAAAATCTGGTTGGGCTTGGTCACCGCACAAAACAAGGCTTTGTGCAGCTTTGTCGCTGCAAGCTGAGGTATGGTAACAGTTCTGGAAACATTTAATTTTGCTATTGGAGCTCTTTGTGGCAGTGGTTTTCCTAACTTTGACCATGGGGAAACAAGAGTTGAAGACCTTGAGGTACCTCATGAAGGGTTTCACTTTTACTGGGCTTTTCTATCCCCGATTCCCTCTTCTAGTGTCAGAGACAGACTCCATGTTTCTCTTGAAGCTGTGCTCCTTATTTGTTGGCATTAGAGCACCGGTATGCGGTGGCAAGACCTGGTGTCCCAAGGAAAGGCCCAGCACGGTGTTGTGCAGGATGGAAAGTCCCTCCTCTCTTGCTGAGCTACCCGCATGGGAGCACAGGCTGCCTTTGACTGAAAATAAAGGGTTTAAAGTAGCTGTATGATGAAGGAAAACTGTTTTGGCGATGGCAGCGGTAACACGAAGTCTCCCATGTCGGGGATGAGACAGGAGGGCTCACCACGAGGTCTGTGGTATGTCCGAGGTGGGCTCCGTCGCAGTAACGGAGATGCGGTTGGCTGTGGGTTACGGGCACCTGCTGGAAACCCCGCGGCGGGGGTGTGCTGGGATGCTGGCGTACGGGCCCCGCGCAGAGGCCAGATTCGGAGCTGGCACCCAGGAGTCGGCTGGCAGGTTTAGATGCGGTTGCTGGAAACATAGCCAGGACCTCAGTGGTTAACGTCAGGCAGAGATGCCTCAGAGTAGTTTTTCTTTTTTCCCCCAGAGGCTGTTAAGTCACTTTTTGAAGTTGGTGTCATTTTCTGAAGCAGCTCCCAACCGCCTTGGGTGCCTTTGGGAACGGCATCCTCGGGCTTCAAGAGCCCCTAAAATTTCTCCAATAGATTTATGCCCTGCGTGGCTAAGGAGGGGCTCGGCGTAAGTTCTCAACCTTGTCTAAGTGCCTACCCACGTACTCGGAAAAGGCTTTAAGAGGTGATTCAGCGGCACACGGGCGTGAGTTTTCACTCCTTGGCTGGGGCTGGGGGTGACTTCGGGGCTGGCGACCCAGGTGATGCTGGAGGAGATGCTCAGGCTCCAAAGCGCCTGTGGGCTGTGCCGGCGGCGTGAGTGTTCACTCCTTGGCTGGGGCTGTGGATGACTTTGGGGCTGGCGACCCAGGTGATGCTGGAGGAGATGCTCAGGCTCCAAAGCGCCTGTGGTCTGTGCTGCCGGATAATGCGGGAGCCCACCTCCTGCCGCGGCTGCTGTTTGTGCTGCGGGAGATGCTCTGGGGACAGGCTCTGTCTGGACTCGCAGGGGCGGGTGCCAGCTCCCAAGGTAATGCTTGTCCTGTGATTTAATCTTCCGATAAAAATATGTGCTTTTTTTTTCTCCTGACCTGCATTTGTCCAGATTTTGCTTTACTTTTCTATTTATTTATGTCTTTTCACACAAGAGTAAGAAAAAGGCTCACAAACAATTTGGGGCGGAAAGGGAGAGAAACAAGCCTGGCAGAGCCATGCCACAAGTAGGTCTAACAACTGGTGCCTGGCTTTGAAAATATCTTACTTTATGTCTCCAGACACTCAGGGTTGTGGATTGGATATGAAACTTCTTAATACCATCTGGCCCAGATTTTATTTATTAATTTAATCTACCTTCTTCCTCAAGTTTCAGTCATGGCTTTGTTTAGCTGATTTTGAAAGGTGTCGCAGCAAGTCATCGCATTGATGGGAGGTTAAATAACTAGGAATGTACCCAGTGCCGCCTCCCTCATAAATGTGCATGTCTATGGGCAGCAGAGTGGGGATAGCATGTGTCAGTGAACACAAAAATATTATCATTAGGAGTGACAGATTAAAAGAGAATAACGCTTGGAGCGGCTTTGGAGGGACTGTCTGCAGTGGAAGTGAGATGAAGGCAGTGAGGGATTAGCTACTGAGTATGTTCATGTCTGCGCTGCTTCTCCTTCTGTCTCCAGTAAACACCTGCCGCCAGCGTGGACAAAAAAAAATAAAGAGATTATTGCACATGTGAGCGTGCCTAACACAGATGCTGGAGGGTGATTTTGGAGAGCTGAGGAAGGAGTTCCCGTCCGGTTGTCTTAGGCACTGAAGCTAATGCTTGCAAACGGCATCAGGGAGGCTGTTGCGCAGCCTCACCTAACCAGGATGGAGAATAAACATACTCAAATATACTGACAAAATGCACATAAGTGTATTTACGGGGAGAAGCCAAGAACAGATTCCCTCTGCTCTGGGGAGGAAAGAGAGAGTCGAAGCAGGATGCTGCCAAAGATGGGACTGCTGTGCCCTGATACTTGTGCTTGTATTTCTCTCTTAAAATCAAACGTATTGCTACGCCTCTCAAAAGGATTGTTTTTATAAGCCAGACTTGCTCCCTGAGCCGGCACTGGGATGATCTTGTTCTGATAGTTCAGCTGTTTAGACAGATGATGGGATTGATGAATTTTTGTACATCTGGGCTAGCGGATGCACAGCGCCTGGGGCAGCAGCACCAGGTTTGCTCTCGAGAGGGAGAAAAGGGGCTTCAACTTGTGAGAGAAATGCTCTTATCTCCAGCGGCCCACGCTCGACGGCCAGCGCCGATGGAGGTGGCACCAGTAGCGTCTGCACCTGCATCCTGAGCTGCTGTGGGGCTAAACGCTGGCCGGCCACGTGGCTGAACTGGCTCTATAGCTACAGGCTGGAGTTTAGGCTGCAGATAAAAAAAAGTAGCTTTTTTTCTCTCTTACTTTTTGCAAGAAGATAAGTGCTTGCCAAGCTCACGTCGCAGATAAAAGCTCAGCGCGGAAATTGTCCTGCAGAGCTCATAGTCAACAGAGAGATGTATGGGTAGTTTACTTTACTTTACTTTTACTTTCTTTCTTATTTTGGAACATTATGTTGAAAGGGCTAAATCGAGTACTCTAAAGCTGGAAATTGCCCGTGTTCAAGGTTTCTGTGCTTTAAGACTCCGTTGCCGCACAGGGTCAGACTCAGAGGCCGGTTAGCCCAGTGTCCCGTGACCAGATGAATCGGGAGAGTGTAAACATGGAGCAGGAACGTGTAACTCCAACACACTTAACTGCTCTCCTGGAGCCTGGTTATCCACAGCCTGGATGTTTCTCGGGCCAGAGATGGTGTCTCTGTATTTAGTACCCCTCAGGGCTGTTCACCTTTCGTGGGCCCATCTGTAACAGGGTTTGTTTAAAATTCAGTGTGCGATTGCTGGATTTGGTGGGATATGGTGTGTTTGGCCTCGGAGCAAATGCAAATTGTCATTTCACATGGAAACAGATAGGGCTGGGCTTGGGAGGTGTTTACTTGGATGGTGCTCAGCAACCTGAGGGATAAGAAAAACATTTCAGTTCCTGTCTTGCTCCTTGGGCTCTTCTGAAAATCCCACTTAATGCTCTTGTGTAACTTCATGCACATACGAAGCCATAAAACTAGGTCCTTTGGGTCTACCACAAAACCCTTTGCTCGCAGTAAAGCCTTTCTGGTGGTTTCTGTAGTATCTGGAGGGCCTGGCCGAGCACAAGGGCTCTGTGTCCCCATTCATTTCGATGTGACATCATCTTGGTTTTTGAAAATCTCAGGATTTCAGCATTGTTCCTCCCCAAAATGGCTGTATTTAAGTGAGGGCTGAGCTAAAGCCTCTCTCTACAGCTTGAAGGAAATTCTTGGGGGAGGGGTTTATTTTCTAGGGTTGATTAGTTTTTTTTCTATCTGACTTTGCCTTTCCCCTCCCTTTCTGAGATGACTGTGTTAAAACGGCTGTGCTCGATGTACCTGTGCACACTTGCTGCTAAGCCTGTCCTGGGAGGCTGGGCAGGAGGTGGGCTTGCCTATGCAATCTTTACCCCAAAATTGAGTTTTGGGGTTATCTGTTATTTGAGTGAAAGGTTTAAAAGCTCCCTGGGCAATTTGGACAAGAGGTTTGTTCCTTAGAAACCTTCCAAAATCCTCATGGAGGATGCGCTGTGTGTTCCCACGGGGCTTCTCATGGCTTTGCTCCATCCCTTTGGTCCTCCTACAGACGTGTGCAGGGATGGACGGGGAAAAGGGAGACACAAGCAGTGTCCTGAGAAAGGAAATGTCTTACTGCTTCTCCCTAGATAGATAAGTGGAAAGGCTAAAAGACAATAGCAGTGACTACTGACATGGTCCGAATACATTGTTTTTGCATCGTATAAATCTGAGAGACTTATCTGCATTTTGCAGGCTGGGGAATACATCAGTATTCATTTTAGTCTCTGAAAAAAATATAATACTTGGTCTCAGGAGAAATGCTGGGATATATCCCCTGTGGGGTTTACTGGAATAATGCTCTTTATTCTGCAGAAAGCCCTGCAGTAGGGGAATCCTCTGTACCCCAGCTGTTTTGAATGTCCTATTGTGCAGTAAACTAATGAAAAGATACTTGTTTCCCTGCGTCTGTTTACTGCTTCCCAAGCTCCAGTGTATCCAGAATGTTAAAACAACCACTGTTGGCTACCTAGATTATTTCCTCCTCATGCATCAATTAGTTATTGAAGAAAAATTGTTATATATTGTTACAGCCTTTAAAACTCATTCTTCTGCTGTGCTTTCATCTTAAATTCTTGCTCTTTCTTCCTCTGCTTCCCACTTCACCTGACTAGATGGTTTTTCCCCGGCTCAATCACGGATTTCTGGCTAACGATCAGCTTGTCTTTAGCCGGCGAGTGCTCAAGGTAGACGTATCGGATCTGCTGCCACTGGTTTGCTGTGATTCTTTGAGTTGCTTTTGTTTCTTCTTTCTGGCTGAAAGTGCACTATGGCTATTTTAAATCGTCACTACTGTGGCTATGATTCAGCGGTGCTTGTTGGGAGCACGCTTGAGTGAAACCCCATTGGAATTTAGGGGGCGTTTTGTCAAAGCAGAGAGACATAAAAGTGATGGGTTTGAGCATTTGGTCCTTTGTGAGAACTGGGAATCAAGCAGCAAAGTCCTATAAATGTTCATATGAACAGTGCTGGCATTGTAAAATAAAATGCATTAAAACTGGAGTTGTCTAAATCCTTGTACTCTAAACGTGACATTTTAATTAGGCAAAATTCAGTGGGAGACTCTTGACTTGACATAATTGGATGCCGTGTTCAGCATTTGCAATAGGATTTTTTTTTTTTTTTAAACTATGCAAGTGATTTAGGAGCACAGATCTTGTTGAAAGGCCGTGGGATTTGTGCTGCTAAGTCACTTAAGGACTTCTGAAAAATCCCACACTTGTCCCTGATTTGAGGGTGGACCACATATTAAACACAGTCCTCATTCTGCCTCGGTGGTAACCCTTCCAGATGCTGCTAAAAGATTTACGAGGCGGCCTTTCCGTGAGGCGTTCCATTGTGCAGCCGCATGGATGAGCCCGGCCACAGCCCCGGGGCTGGGCTGCGGCAGCCGGCGGTGGGTCAGGAGTTGGTAACCGGGCGGCGAAGCCCCGTGGGGTGCTCCCCTCCGGAGCGGGCACCTACCGAACCTTCACAATCACACGGAGATACAGCTGCCACTTTTTTCTTTGCATCCAAGCAATGCCAGGTGCGAGCTACGCTGGATGTTGATATATGACCTTGGCTGTATTTAAAGGATACTACTAAGCACTACTTTTTTTTTTTTTGTGGGTTTTTTGGTGTGGTTCACTAAGCGATGGAAGTGTGTGCATGCTCCATGCCAGCATGTTGTTGGGCCTGGGTTATTTCTGGGTGCTGTCGAATTGGTGGTTTCCATGCAGACAATCGCTGGGCAAGGGCTTAATGAGATAAAACCTCGTTGGAAGGCATTGAGCAAAAACCTGGTTAAGGAACCAGACCCAAAGGGCGTGAAGCGGCCCTGAGCTCCCAGCCTTCCCAATTGGCAGCTGTAATTAAATTCCTCTGGGACAGCGGAGGCCAGGGTGCTGATGGCCCAGGGATGCAGTGCATGTGTCACAGGCACCCCGCGGCCACCGCTTGCCACCGCTGCTTCATCTCACCATGTCTGTGTGAACTTCTTCCAGGGCGATCAAGGTCAAGATGGAGCCACTGGCCCCCCTGGTCCGCCAGGACCCCCAGGTGCCCGGGGGCCTCCTGGTGACACGGGAAAAGATGGCCCAAGAGGACCTCCAGGCCCCCCTGTAAGGATGGGAGATGCACAGCGAGCACATGCCGGGCAGTCCCCAGCCCAGCGAGGGAGAGGAGGGTGAAGGGTGTCCCCTTCCCCAGTGCTGCCACCCCAACCACTGGGTCCCCAGCCTGGGCTGGCATTTGGCCTCTGATGGCCGCTCATACAGCAAAGCTTTGGGGCATGGGGCCAAGGGAGCAGGAGGGGACCTTCCATCTTCAGTTTTGGAGCAAAGAGCTGGACCTGAAGCATGTATTTGCGGGTGCTGGTTGCAACTCAGAGAGCCCGGAGGAGATCTCTTCCCTGATCTGTAGCCTTCAGATGACCTGTTGCAAATCTCCAGATCTCTGGCAATTCATTTAATAAAAAAAATAGGCTGCAACGCAGTGCTACTGAACATCCGAATTATTGCTGAGCGTTTTGGAGAATGAGGGATAATAGTTTCAGTGTTGGCCTTTTTATTTTTGCAGGGTTTCAAAGGCGAGCCGGGAGAGGATGGCCTCGTGGTTAGTATTGCCGGGAAGCATCCGTGTGTGCGTGCCCCTCGCCCCCCTCGCTTTACATCACCCTTCAGCTCGCTGCAGCAAGTGGTTTTGTGTCGTTGCTTATGGAGGCCAAAAAAACCCCATGGAAAATTATAGATGCCCTAAAATGGATGTTTGTCCAGGGGTACCTGTGCCCTGGGGAGAAAAGAGACCAGCCTTTGTCCCCTTGGCTCCTCTGGAGGGATGTGCTGCTCCTGTATCCCCACTTATGCCCCTCTGAAGCCTCCTGGCATCGTAACTCCAACTCACTAAGGTCTAGGTTGGATAAAAAGGTGCTTTTTTTTTTTTATTATTTACTGGGAGCACAGAGAACTTACGGCTGTATTTGTAATGGAAGATGGCATCTGTGTCATTTTTTTTCATGGGAATTAAAGTACTCTTAGAAGTGTTTCTATCCTGTTATACTCTATTGTCAAACAAGTATATCAACTACTCTTACATTCAACAGGGTGCCAGGGGACCTTCAGGACCAAAGGTGGGTAATAAGTAGTTTCTTATCTGTCCGATTTTAACATGAATTCTTGAAATATTGCTGCATAAGGGGGGTGGAGATGAACATACGTATTTTGCACTGGACTTGTACTCATCTGTATTAATCAGATACAAAATTTCTAAGGGATCAAATTAACCATTGACTTGGAGCTGCAAATGTCTGTCTGAACGTGTCACCTACACAAAAAGCACAACCACTGCCCATGTGAAAACCTTGAAATTGGGGTGGAGGGAGCCACGGGGGGCTGGAAGCTGGTGTGCTGTGGGAATGTGCTTTCTTGCGTTTGGAGGGGGATAAAGATCAACACAAGCTGAGTATTTTAACTTAATTAATTTTGAGTATCTGTACAATTGATCTTATTTTCTGTTATGTCCTTAAACTTGTTTCTTCTCTGTGCGTGTTGCTGTTGAAGGGTGAGCCTGGCATCCAAGGGAAAAAGGTAAAATGGTGATCTTTTTTTTTTTTTTTCCTTTGCTTTGCTTGGTGCTCGACTAGGGAAACCATTGCCAGAGACCGATGGAGAAGCCGTGGCTGTCCATACCGAGCCCACCCTTGTTTTGCCCGGGGCTTCTCGCACATGCAACCCCGAAGCCCAGGCACGCTGTGCCTGCGCCTGGTTTTCATTACCACAAACAAGCTAGAAGCTGCAATCGCATCTGCCCAATAGACAAAGAATAAAATAGCAAATGCCAAACAAAGCAGTAGGTCCTGAGCCCTTTCACTCCAATAATTCAAGCTGAACCGAGAAGCGCCTGGAGGCTGTTACCTGCCCGCGGGCCCCTGTGCTGGGTTTGAGGTTCCTGAGATGGGCATTGCCGCGCAGCACCTCGGGCTTGTGGGGATTGCCCACTCTCTTAAGGACAGGCATGCTGCTTGGGTCGGGCGTTGAAGGCTGTGGGAGATTCACGTGTCCGAGCTTTCCACGTTTTCTTCTCGTGGTGCCAAGTGTCGTTGCTTATGATTTATCCAAATAGTGGATAAATAGCTGCCTTTAGCTGAAGCCAAAGCGCTGACAGGGCCCAGCCTTTCCCTCTTACTGCTTTGCCCCAAAACAGACGTGGCCATGGGTGTTTTTCAGGCCAGAATTTGGCTTAAAAATTTCATAACTGGAGAGTAAATTAACCTCTTCAGCACCTATGAAGTGGTTTTACTCCAGGAGAACAACAAAGCGTGACAAGTGAAACAAGAAAATCTCCCGGCAGATGAGTGTGCTGGTGACTTGTGGTGAGGTCCATGAGGATGGGTGGCAGCTTGCAGGAGATCTTTGGAACCCAAAAAGCCTAAATGGATTAAATATCTAATTTCTGTTAAAGGTGGAAGAGCACCTTCCCAGGGCCTGCTGTAAGCAAATTCTGGGAGATGCCCATCCACTGCCCCGGGAGCAGGGGAGGCAGAGCTGGGTGGGAGCAGAGGACCATGCTGGAGCCTCCTGGGCTCCTTGCTGCATCTTTCCCCGAGCCTCCTGCAAACCTGAGTGGGTCTCAGGTCTGTGCAACGCTCAGTGGGGTCAAGTGATGTGTTGGGTCCTAATAATAAGTGTGTACAAGCTCTTTGTATTTCACTTTTTATATTTTATTTCATCAGGGTGATGATGGGATCCCTGGGGAACCAGGACTTATGGGCCCTAAGGTATGTTCTGCTCTGTGTCCATCTAATGTATGTGCTTGGCAGCATCTTTTGCTATCTGGTTTCTTGGCACAGTATCACAGTTGGGGCAGGTTGAGAAGCACATTTCTCCCCTGACGTGGAAAAAGAACAATAAAAATGAGAAAGAGAAGCACAACCCACCCCTCTGCCACGGTAGCTCTGCCCAGAAGTTTGCAAACGCAACTTGTTGACTATGGCAGAGAATTGCCATTTAGGGGCTCCTCTGGCAGAAGTAAATTGGGGAGTGTTGCTGGGGGTGGCCTGGAGCTGGGGTTCGAGCTGTGGGTTCGCGCTCCCCAGATCAGGGTTCAGCGGGCTCTCCACGGGAGCCTTCTCCAGATGCCGTGGTTTTGGGGCTAACTTTATGGCTGAACATACCACCCGCAGCCAAAGTGTTAAGCCTGAAAGCTTCTTTTTTATCTCAAAAACTCCCCTTTGCCACCTAGGCAACGTGATGTACTTCAGGCTAAAAGCAGAGCTTTGCTCACTCATGTATGTAAAAGTAAAGATAAAGCAAGAAAAGTATAACCTGAAGAAATCTGTTCTCCATCCTACCCGTATAGCATTTGTCGAAATTGTCTTGTTTTCAGGGAGAAAAAGGAAGCGCGGGTCCCAAGGGAGAGAACGGCACAGATGGCTTGCCAGGACCCAAGGTAAATAAAAGTCCATTAGCCGGGAAGCTGGGCACAGCGCTGCTGAGGCAGAGGGTTTCAGCTGAGTAGGTATTTTAGGCCTTTGCCTTCTAAAAGGCTCATAAAATGCCCAAACTGAAACAAAGCAGGGGGATGTTAAGAAGTATTTTACCTTTTCCTGGCGATGTAATGAAAGCTGGATTCAAGCAGAGATCGGTATAAGAGTTTTTAGAATCGTCTCCTTGCATGTTTTTCATTGAATTGCCTCTTTTTCCCCAAGAGAGCTAAACCTCTGATCACATTTTGATCCCATGTATTGATGGCTGCAGTATCGCTTCAAAGCCCAGAGCACTTACGTGCCGTCCTGTTCCGCTGACCTTCATAACTGCCAAGAAACGCAATAAGACAGTCTTGATATGTTAAGTGGTGATGATGAGACCCGGACAGCATTCATGGACTGTTATTTCCCCCCTCAGCTGCTTCTTATTTAGTAGGATCTGTATCCAGTCGTGTTTTCTGTATCAAACAGTCGTGGCTCCTTGTTGGGCAAGAATCTCTATATGATGAAGAAACGTGGGCTCAGGTGACCCTTAGCCATTTTTTTTTTTTCCTAAAACCATAGTAGCAGTGCTGGTTTGTTCCCCCTGGGATCCGCTGAATTGAGTTTTCCTATGGAAAGCCTTTGCATTTATACCATTTTTTACTTTTTGGAGGGCTTTAATTTGGCCAGCAAATGGATTTCCATGGGTATGGCAAAAGGTACATTTTTTGAATCCTGAACGGAATTTCAGGTCACTGCTGTGGGAGTGCTATGGCTTTCCAAAACTTCCCAACTTTCAAAAAAAGGGGGCAAAAAAAAAAAAAGGGAGAAAAAAAAAAAAAGAAAAATTTGGCACAACCTTTTTCCTTAAACTCACCCTCAGAAATGGTTTAAATGTGTCGGCTGAAACTTTCCACATGCAAAATTCAGCCTAAAGCAAAGAGGGAGCCATGTGAAACTTCAGCACAAAGAGCTGGAGCTTGGCACGCTCGGAGCAGACAGCAGAGCCGGAGAGCGGGACGGCACATGGCCGCTACGGGGAGCTCAGCCCCACTCCGCTCCCTCTGCAATGAGAAGTTTTCTTACCGTCAACTAGCTCACACCAACATTATCTTTTGTAAAATATATTTGCTCTGAAGTCAAATCTATCTTTTTGCTGGGAGAAGCAGTTCCTTCTTGGTGCCATACTTTTTCTTAATCTAAAATACATCTTGGCATCTCGTGTATTTACAGTATTTTTAAGATAAATATCCTATATTTTCTTTGGTCTCTTTGAACCAAAAATGTGATTTTGATTTTTCAGGGTGAACCTGGTGAGAAGGGAGGAATTGGCTCCATCGGACCCCGGGTACGGATGTTCAGGGTTTTGCTTTTTTAGTTTGGAGTCGCGTATTTGTCTCGACCTGAGCTATTCCCCACCACCTCTTTCTGCTTAGTATGTGGTTGAAGCGCTTCAGGATCAGCTCAGCGCTAGAAAATAGAGATGGTGCATATTTAAACAAATCATTATGCAGGTACCGAACGCTGCCACGGGAGATAGCTCTGGGAAATGCAGTCAAGTCCAATTTTCTTATCAATGTGACCATCCTGTGACCCCTTTTTTGCAAGAGGGAAGCTGTGAATAGGTGTAATCAAGTGAGGATTTCTATGCACTTCTCCATTACACAAATATGTGCCCTTTTGAGGTTTGGTTGGATGACGGTTACAGCTGTCAGACTAGGAATTGATTAAATCGATGGTGTTTGTGAGGTGATAATCCCCAAACAGCTGGGTGTCAGGTCTTTGCTTTTATAGCACCTGCTTCTCAGATGCTGCAAAAACTAAATAGGATTCGTCCCCGGTTGCAGGGTCCCCCCGGCCTGAAAGGGGAACAGGGCGACACCGTAGTGATCGACTATGACGGCCGAATCCTGGATGCGCTCAAGGTAAGCCCCGCACCAAGGTCATGCCGATTCCTGCGGGTTAACGGGAAAGGACTGAAAAACTGCCGAGCTCTGCCACAGTGACATTGTGGCACTGTGTCTGTCCCTGTCCTACTTCTCCTTCCCGAGATCTCGGTCTCAGCACAGAGCTGGCCGGGAGGGAAGAGCTTATTGCATCTGGGGGCTGAGGATATTTAGGATGTACCAGCAAAAATGGTGGCAAAACTCGAGGCTGTGAACTCGGGCTGGGTACCAGGCTCGTGGGGATCCGGCTGTGGGATGCGAGTTAATATTCTGCAGGTAAAAGCAACCTGACGCAGCCTGTGACATATAAACACCTGATGCAGCGAGTGTGAGCAGCCAAATTACAGCTTAAACACAGGCAGCTGCAGGGTGTTATTCCCAGGGCATGGTGCAGAACTGCGGTTTTCACTGCGCATCCTCTGGAGCGGTTTTCTCCGCAAGCAGCGGTTGGGATGCGGGAGGAAGGGAAAGAGTGCCCGAGCCCTAACCTGCCTGACCGAGCAGTACCCTGCCATTTTTGTTAAGATGAAAGAAGCTGAATAGAATAAATACTTAATTACAGACATATTTGAGAACCATCCTAATTGTTTTATGACAGGCTGCAGGGATACACAAAGTGATGGTAATTACCGTTTGCCAGATGTCTGCACGGCACGCAGCTTTGAGTGGAGTTTGTGGAGTGCAGTGGTTGGAGAGGCTCCATCAAATGTCTGGGGACTTCATCTGCTGGGCCCAGACCCTCTCCCGCGTGCTGCATGTGGAGATTGCCGAGGGGCGCGTCACTGAACCTCGCTAACTTTGCCATTTTCCTGCTTATTAGCTGTTTTCGGTGTTTGCTCACTGACCTGTCTCATCGACAGAGCTTTGGAAAGGGGTGGCTTTACACGGCTTCCAGTGTGATCCCATGTAACAGTATTTGAGCATGCAGTCATGGAAAAAGGTGCTTGGGGATGTGGTCCGGTTTTGGTTTTCAGCTGAGCAAGACCATGAGTTTTGCTGTTTGAGATTATTTTGCAAGTTGCGAAATATTTGTTCATCTCAAGGTGGTTCACGGTCTCTGCACCCAGCAGTGCCCAGGAAAAACAGCTTTGCTTAAGTGCGCAAGGTTTTCCTGCTGTTAGTGCTCACACAAACTCCTTCGTTTCCCCTCTTTAGTTGCACCTCCCTGGCTGGTTGTCACTGTTTTCAGCAGGATGCTTCTCCCCAGCCCGGCTGGCTGGAGGGGGGAGAATGCAAAAAGAGACCACCAGGTTTGGGGCCACACCTCTGGCTAAAGGCATTTTGCCTCTTAACACATGTACTGCCGCTACCTGTACACCCGGCTAGCTCCGGTTGTGTTTTCTTTTGCATGAACATCCCCTGTGCTGGAGGGGCCCTCGGGTCACTCAGCTGAGCTCATCGTGGTGTTTGGGCAACCCCGGTCACACGAGTGTCTGTTGTAAGATCGTGGCTGGGACCTGCTCCCAGCTCATCCCCAGCAGCACAAGGATAGTGTGCCATATTCGTATTAGTCATGCTCATGCCCGGTTTGTTTGCTGTGTTTCAGGGTTCGCCAGGTCCCCCAGGGCCACCGGGCCCCCAAGGCGCTCCAGGTCCCAAGGTGAGCCCGACCTCTGCCATGCAGACGGTGTTTCCTAGCGAGCGATGTGGTCGTTAGCGGCTCTCCATGTAGCAAGTGTCTCCCAAGCCAAAATAAGGCAGGTGATGCTGGCTGCAGGGCTTGAGACTACGCATGGTAAAGGAGATGCTATTTAACACTTCCTTGGGCTAAGAAAGGAGGTTTTTGCACAAAAGCCAAAGTCTTGTTGGCTTTTCTTTGGTCTCCAGCCTCTTCCAGAGGACACTGTCCCAAAAATGAATCCACTCCCAGTTCTACACCTGACGGATGAAATCCCGGCCCCTCCGAGATTTCCTCATTGTGTACGGCGGGAGGCAGAAGTAAATGGGAGAAGAAGTTGTGAGGAGGGGGCAGTGGTCCCAAAAGCTGTGCCAAGCTGTCCTCCATCCCGCCCTCCCCGTGCGCTTCTTGCTGCCCTGGCACCGTGTCCAAGCGGGACCGCACTGTCCTCCCGCTTCACAAGCAATAGCCAGTAACCTACAGTCAGCTGTAGAAACTTTAAAAGAAGACTTTGACTTGCAGAAAAGCATCTCTTGGAAGAATGGGATGGGGCAGGATTTTGGTGCCTCTCGAGGTCCCCATGTCCCCCAAATTTGGATGAGCCGGTAATGCTGCCACATCACTGAAACCTCCTTGCTGCTGCTCCTGAGCCTAGCAATGCCAAACCCATAACCACAACGGTCGATACACATGATTAACTCATTTCCTTGCAAAATGCTTTCCCGAGTTGATTTCTTGATTTAACTTACCGTGGGCTCCCCTTTCTTTGTGTCACTTCAGGGAGAGCTGGGCTTGCCGGGTCCACCTGGACTGGACGGTGAAAAGGTGCGTGGGGCATGGCTGGATCAAGCAAGACCTTGCAGGATCCGAGTTAAAAAGGAGTTTACTGTGTGTCTGTGAGAGCTGCCACTGTGAAAAGCAAATCTCAGCCTGCCAGGAGCAAGCTCTGCCCCGTAATGTTCAGCTGCATCTCTGAATTAATCGCCCATTGCTTAGAGCCCTGCGCTCAGCCATGAGCATGCAGATGCTGCTCGTGGCCATTTCTGCCGAGCTAAAGGGGCTCCTTTTACCAGTGGTTCATCAGAAATTGTCTCAAATTCTGTTGTAAACCTTCCCAACCCTAAATGGCGGCAACCCCTGCTACAGCCTAGCCAAATTCTGCTGCGCCTGCAAAATCGGCGTACGTAAGTTTAACGTTAAAACATGTTTTCGTGAGCTCATGCCGCAATATGGAGATGAAACAACAGCAAGGCAGAAATGGCTGTTTAACAGTTTTCTCCTAAGCAAGTTGTTTTCTGTAACCTTCCAGGGTCCCAAAGGAGCGAAGGGTGACCAGGGCAGCGCAGGGATCACGGGACAGAAAGGAGAGACAGGAGAAATGGGATTATCGGGTCCACCGGTACGTCCCTCTTTCCGTCCCTGTACATCTGCTGCTTGGTTCTTTAATGCATTGATTTCTGCAAATGCTCGGTATACGGCCGGGTTGCTGATCTAAGCAGTGGCCTGTCTACACCACATTACTGTGGAGCTGGAGGATGCGGGAGCTTTGAGTTTTCTTTGCTAATGATGACGATAACGGCTCATTCAGAAGGTCATCTAAGCCGGTAGCAAGGAGGAGAAAATCTCCTTTTTTCAAGCAGTCCCGCAGGGACGAACAAGAGCTTTGCTTGAGCCAAGGCTGGAGTTTAGAGGAAGACAAATGTATTTTTCTCTTGTTTTTGCTTTCCTGGAAGATGCACCACATCAGCGTTAGACTTTTATCTTTTAGGGAGCAGAAGGGCCAAAAGGAGACAAAGGAGAAAAAGGAGACACCGGCTCGCCGTGTTTGCAGAATAATCATGTAAGATCTTGGCAACATAAACCATGACATGGGGTCAGGCAAAATTGGGGTGTGCAGGCTGGAGCTGCCGGTTCCGTATCCATCAGCGTAGCGGAGGAGAGCAAAACCCAACTGTTTTCTACAAGGATTTTCAGATGCGTCTAAATGGGGTTTATTCGTTAGGGAAGAACATCTTGCACACTTGGCACTACAAAAGTACTTTAGATTTTGCATTGATGGTTGAGATATTGGATGCTGCTGTTATAATCGTGTTTTGTTCTAAAAACATACTGGGCTCCTTGCAGTTTTATAGGATTTCTGCATCCTTTTTTCCTTATTCATGCCTTTTGCTTAAAAGAAAAAGTGGTGGGTTTTGATAGTTTTTTTTATTAATGACATGGGAGCTCTAATTTTGTTCTGGTTTTGTTTGGTTGTTTTTTTTCCATCAAAAAGGCTGGTTTCCTCTGGTCTGTGTGGAAAATTGCATCATTTTCCAATACATCCATTTTGCGGCTGGCAAATATGCTAAGCAGCGTGGGTCACGTCTGTCATTTCAGAGGCTAGCTTGATTCATGTGCTTATTAAGATTCATTTATTTATAAATCCTACAAGCAACTCTTTGATTAGCAGATATTTTGATCAAAGCCATTAAATCAGAGGGCATTAAATCATGATTCTGGGCCGTGTGAGGTTTCCATTCCCAAACTGTCTTCTCTCTGTGCCCAGCCCCGTTAACGTGCCATTTAATTCCCTTCTGCAGATCATACCTGAGCCCGGACCCCCCGGATTACCTGGCCCTATGGTAGGACTCTGGAAAGCGGCTCGTGCAATTGAGCCTTGCTGCCGATTTGTTATCGCATGGGATTAGTTAAGGATGAGGGTGGTTTGCTCTGTTTAATCATCGTGGGCCGCTGCGAATCTGGGAAAAAAAATCAGGGAAGAGCTACAGCGTTGGGTGCTGTTTTCGGAGAGGTGGAAGCACCTGATTTAGGAGAGTACATTAGCGTTTGTGGAACATTTTGCAAATAACGAAGTGGTTCCTTGGAATGGGGAAAAGATAAAACCTTGTGGCATGGGAAAACCTGTTCCCCCCGTGATGGTGTCTGTATTCCCACAAATTTGCCCAAGTCATTAAGTTTTTTTGCCATCAGCTGCAGTGGGAGAGGATGCGGGCGGTGATGAACACGTGAAACATTTTTGATGCAGATATCTAAGGTGTTTGGTACCTACGATGCTCCAAAAGGCTGAGGAGCTGTCAAAGGGCATCAGGAAGGTCAGAATGCCTCTGCTGTGTCCAAGATGCACCTTGAGAGACCACGCTTCAAAACCAGCCGGCTTTCCAGGCGGCATTTATAACCCGGGAAGTGTCCCCAGCCCTGCCCGGGCTCGGAGGGCCATGGTGGCAGGGTGCTGCCCTCCAGAGCTTTTGCTGTCACTCGCTTCAGCAAAGCTCTTGCGGGGCTCTCGCTTCCCAAAGCTCGTGTTGCAGAGCTTTATTTTGTTGCATGTTGGGCCTCAAGTTGCGCCAGGGGAGGTTTAGATTGGATGTAAGGAAAAATTTCTTTACTGAAAGAGTGGTGAAACACTGGAACAGGCTGCCCAGGGCAGTGGTGGAGTCCCCATCCCTGGAGGTATTTAAAAGACGTGTAGATGAGGCA